CATCGGTTTCTGTGATTAGAGAAGGTTTCGGGTCAGAGAAGTCCTTTCGGCTTTGTCCACTGTCCTTCATTGTTCCTGCTGATGCAGAAGCTCCTCCGTCTCCCAAGATCGAAAAATAAAAAGCTGTGTTTGTCCGTGTTTCTGTAACTTACTGGGTTTTTTTACTGGGTTGGGTAGTTGGCCCTCCGCAAACTGGCACTTTTCGGGCGACCAGACCTATGCACTTTTAGTCGCCTCTTACGACACGCAGTATCACGGCCGGTGTATTCTTTGCTCCCCCATAGTAAAACTACGGGGCCCCCCACCAGCAGGGGAGGGATAACATTTCACTACCCAAGAAATACCAGGTTCTCTCTGCTCAGTGTCTAATTTTCAGAAATTTGATGTCAAGCATTTTGAGTTTCTCATCATGTCAAGTTTTTTTTCGAATTAAGTTCTTTTAATATCTGAATAACCACTCCTTGTTTGTTTGTTTAGTACAGGGTTTTACGGCGCTCGCAACTGCATAAGGTCATATGAGCGCGCGATAACCACTCTGAATATATTTCAATTTTGATAGCGCAAAGAGAACATTTTTATTAATTTGGTTTCTGGCCTCATAGTTTCAGTAACTCAAAATGGCCATAAATGTCAGATGGAACTTTTAAATTCTGAAGTAGCAATTGGCCAAAATAATAAGTAAAATAGGCCAAGTAATAAATGTCAGGCATGCTGACAAAATGAGTCACTTCTGACAATCCACAAATGGAGATATAGGCCAAAAGTCGACATTAGGGTCAAATTTGTAGACTTTCTATTGATGCCATATTCTTTAACAGTAACCTGTCTTTTATTATTTCATACTTGTAAATAATAAAACCTTCATCTATAAGCGTAATGCATCTATTTCCTTAAGGCTTGAATCCGAGAAGTAACTCATTTTGTCAGGACGCTTCACAAATGGTAAACTTAGATCGTATTCTGCTGTGTTTTTCATTTTGTTCAGTGGTAGTATGTTGTTTTGTGTGTTTGTTCTGTAGCTTTGTATTGTCCTGTGTCGGGTTCTGTTTCCCAGAAAAGTAGGAAGCAGTGAGTAGTGTTGTATTGTATTGTGTTGTGTTGTGTTATAGCTATGTTATGCCTCTGAGTTGTTTTATAGTTACACCGCGTTTTCTTGTATTGTGCTGAGCTGTGTTAAGTTCGGCTGACCTGTGTTGTGTGTAGGATTGCATAGACGTGTATTGTGGTGTTCTGTGTTGGTAGGTTTTCGTCATATTGTATTGCAAGGGTTTAACACTTTTTAGATTTTTTGTTGCTTTTTTTACACTTTTGTGTAGTGAGT